ATAAATGCACTCACTTTATTACCCATATCGGCAAATTTTTTATAATAAATAAATGCCTTATGTTCATCCTTTTCAATTCCAATTCCTAAATAATAACAAGTGCCAACAACAAGTGTTCCCATTTCATTACCCATCTCAGCTGATTTTTGAAAATAAATAAATGCCTTATGTTCATCCTTTTCAACACCAATTCCATCCTGATAGCAATTTCCAACCTGAACGTTCCTTTAGCATGCCCTATATCTGCAGATTTTTGGTAATAGATAAATGCCTTATGTTCGTCCTTTTCAACACCAATTCCATCCCGATAACAATTTCCAACCTGGAGCATTCCTTCAGCATGCTCCATATCTGCAGATTTTTGGTAATAAATAAATGCCTTATGTTCGTCTTTTTCGACACCAATTCCATCATGATGACAATTTCCAACCTGGAATGTTCCTTCAGAGTATCCCATATCTGCAGATTTTTGGTAATAAATAAATGCCTTATTTTCATCCTTTTCAATTCCAATTCCTAAGTGATAATAATAGCCAACTATAAATGCAATAGATGCACTCATTTTAACACCCATATCAGCAAATTTTTTATAATAAATAAATGCCTTATGTTCATCCTTTTCAACACCAATTCCTAGACGATAGCAATTGGCAACCATCAACGTTCCCTTTTCATTACCCATATCGGCAGATTTTTGATAACAAATAAATGCCTTATATTCATCCTTTTTAACACCAATTCCATTCTGATAGCGGTCACCAAGACTACACATTCCACTAGCTTTCCCCATTTCTGCAGATTTTGAAAAATAAATGAACCCCTTATATTTACCCTTTTCAACTTCAATTCCGTTTTTATGAAAAAGATCAAGAAAGTACATTCTATAGAAATCATTCATCTCGACATTTTGGTATAGGAACGATCTATCATCAGTGTTTAAACAAACTGGTTTAGTGCTCGCGTTTAGAAAATTGTTTTTAATTTTTTTCACATTATTAAAAATTGAACGTCCAATATCATTTTTTATAATCATTTTGAAGATAATTATACAAATATATTTTTTCTTCCTCGCTCAATAGTCTATCATTATAAATTTGCTCGTTCAAAAATGATATTTCTTGTTGCAGTTGATGCGGTGAAACGATTGGAAGCTTTCGCATAAAATATTAGCAACTTTAAGCCGTGCGCAAAAAAAAAGCATTTTCAGCTTCATTAAGATTGACTATTCCTTTTGCAAATTTGTTAAGAAACTCCAAAACTTGATGAATGGATAAAAAAATTCTATTAGAAATCATCCTACAAATAATATTCCACATGAAATCTATGCTTTTTTTATCAATTTTTCTAATATAAATCAGTTGATCAGAAAATGCTTCTTGTGTTGGGAATTGATTTGTTGAGCATAAAGCAAACAAAAGATGAAGCCTTTCAAGAAAAAACGCACTGTCGGAATAGTTAAAATTATTAATCCCATTTGTAAATTGAGTGAAAAATTCCAACGCTTGTTGATCAGTTGAAAATATTTCTTTGGAAAACTCTTTAGCTATTTTATTCCATATAAAATTCACATTACGTACTTCAGGTGATTTTTCTAACAAATTGTTTTCGGCATTTTGTAATCGTTCGAGTAAATAGATAATTTCATTTGTATTCTCATTTATATTGAGAAAGCTATATATAGCGTGTATGACAAATTCGAATATTTGATGTCTTGATGAAAATGATTTTTCACTCAGTAAGTCGATGATCTTGTTCCATGTCTCATTTGCTTTTTGATGATCAATATTTTCAACAAAATATAAATCATCATAATCCTTCAGTTCTCCAACAAAATTGTCGATTTC